CTCGCCAGCAAAAGAATATGGCATCTTGGGTTTCAAGTAAAAGTGACAAGTTTACCAATTTGGTCTAAGCACAAAGGTGTGGTGAGTGTTGGATCCTACTACAGGAAGATACGAAGGAGGGCGAGGCCGACTGCTGAACTCGAAACAAGTGTACCTATGCAGTATTTGATCACCTCATATTTTGAAGCTTCTAATAGAGCTCTCAATGCATGAATTTCCTGCAACACCACAAACATATCATGTGTTCTGATATTCCCAAGTTCAAGGTGAAGAATGAATTTAACGAGTAAAGGAAACAGTTATTATACCCTGTCAAGCTTGTTTGTGAGGTTTGTTGTTTCGGAATTCTGATTAGCTAGCTCATCACGTATTCGACTGTAATTAACAAGACAATATGAGATGACAAAAACAAAAGATCAAACCATGCGCCTCTACTAGCAGATGGTGATGATGGTAAACGGTAATAGAAGAAGAGTAATGTGAACTGTGGAGTTTTCAATCTCATACCCTCTTTCAAGATTCAAATCCAACCGTTGTCCAGCTGTGACCTTATCGATTTCATACCTATTTCAAGTGAGAGGTCATTGGTTTAGGAACAATTAAAACAAATTACAACACGTTGAGAACGTGGGTCCAAATAAAATGAAAAAAGGCTGGTCACAAACCTAAGCTCACTTCGCATCTTCTCTATGTCGCCTCGTAATTTTTCTGTTTCGCGTTGCAAAACAGTAAAGTGATGCTCCTTCAAAAAGAATGAAGAAACACTGAAATCATAAACTTTATTTATTGGTTTATACAAGTACATAGAATGCGATTGTGCATACACAGTAGATGCTGGTGATACATGATTAAACATAGCATGATATGAAAAAGTGCAGTAAGATGATCAGCAACCAACACATTGTACTGGTATTTCTAGCTACAATTTCCCAGGACTCCAACTCATAAACAGTTGCAGCAGAGACACTTACAAGAGAAGTTCAAAACAAAAATTAAACAGGTCTTCCTCCTACATAACTAAACTGCTCAGAAAAACACATCCCATGTGTTATAACTCCTCCACAATATGAACAAGTACTTCAGATCTTCTACTTTCAAAGTAACACAACCTTCCAAACTAATCAGCAATCAGAAGAAAAACGTTCCTAAATTGAGGAAAATAACAAAATGGGTATAAAACGGAAGACCACACACCAAGATATGAATGTAACAGAGACAATGGTGTTTGAGATTATAAAACGCAGCACAACTCTAAAGTTTATCACGAATATAGACAAGTTTTGCACATAAACCACAAAACGGCCACATATTTCCACGGTTCTGAACCACTATTAATGATAAACAACAATTACTGTATGCAAAAACAAACTAGAAAACATGTATATGTTACCTGAGAACTTTTAACATCAGATTTAAATTTTGACAGATTTGACTCTTGAATCATTTCAATCTGCAGACACAAGTAAGGACATAATTTCTACAGTAAGGTCAACTCCCACCGCAAGAGAACACGAAACAGGTAATCGAAACTATCACCTTCTGCATTTCTGCTTTTGAAACAAAAGACTCAGAGACATTTTCCAAGCTATCATTCAACACCTCAGTAATGGCAGAAGTTATTGCCTCAGCTTGTTTAGATGGAACACCTTGAGCTTCAAGACTCCTCACCTTTCACAGAAACAAAAACACCTCAAGTAGCTACAAAGATTCGTTGCTTTCTCCAAGAGCAAACTTAACCATGCGGATTTAACTAACATCGAAGAGGTTCCACACTTATAAGAAAGCGTTTCCGGATACTGCAAATCCATGCCTATTTCTTTAGATCTGATACATAGAGAGCGAATGAAATTACCAGAGCCAATGTATCGACGAGAAAAGCACGCTTCCCATTAACTTTAGTGAGCTCGGAAATTTGCCGGAAAGGAACCGGACGACGATGAATCAAGCCGAAAGAGGAGCCGAGACCTCGAGGTTTGGCGACGGATTGTGCCCCTAACAGAGCCAGGCGTTTTGACAAGTTCATCGATTAGACTGAAATCAATAGCAGCAAAGAAACAAAAGTTGAATCGGAGAAGCAACGACGGCGAATCAAATCGTGAGATTGATTTCCGATTGGGAATCGGAGGATTTGACAAGTTAATAAAGACGAAGGGTTTCTGGGGTTTGATTTCTGAGTTGGTTTTGGGGTTTGATATTACATAATTTAGCCTATTATTTTACTTTCCCATAAAATTAAGAAAATAGGCTTAAAAAACTATCAAAATTAAGAAAATAGGTCATAATTTTTTAATTAAAAAAATAGGTTACTGTAGACCA